GAGGGACCTCAGGGAAAGACAATATCCTACAGCAAAATGCATGAAAGGAATCAGTATCCTCTTAGTATAGTGACATCTCTATCCATTCAACGTTTCCCAGACCAGAAGGGGCATGAAAAACTTTTCAAAGAGTTAGAAGAGTAACCAAAAATAAGAAAAAGGAATTATATATGAGACCACTGCCCAAACGTCAAAGCTACACAATTCACCCACAGTGTGGAGATGAAAGGGGTCAGCTTGGATCTGAGAGCGTCATGAAAGACATGGGTGGACCAGAAGCAAAGGAAGCATCCAGTCCCATCCAGAGGCACCATGGGGAGGGGAGGGAGAAGAGGTTGAGGATGCTCTTTCTTCTCCCAAGACGATGCTTCCTCAGTGTTTCTTGTTGCTGTTCCACATTCTGTGTTCTATGTTGATATAGGTGAAAGACATCAAAGATCCTGAGTGTTAAAACAAGGCCACAAGAGACAGGGAGAAAATAGCCCGGGGGTGACCTGTGCTTGCTGCAGCCCATTCCCCAGACAGTGGCACCAGCGACCTCCGTCATAACGATTGAATGCCATTTGGAGATGTATTTCATCACCCGGTAGCGGGGCTGCTGCCCATTCTACCTCTATGAAGTGTTGCCGGGTAGAGTCATTTTACAGAAAGAATGTTGTCAGAGTGCTGTTAATCTCCACGGAGGTCCAGACAGGAGAACAAATAAACCCAGGCTTGGAAAGCGGGGATTGGGTATGTTCTCACCCTCTTTCTCCAAGCCTTTACAAGTGAGACCACCATAGCTTGGGAGAGTTAACTGATTTCTGTAAGGTTACACAGCCAAGGTGAGAGGAGGAGCTAGGACTAGAATCCATACAGATTTAGAGGAACAAAACTCTTCATTGTTAGGAAGTGAGGAGTGCCACTGAATGGATGGGAATCTCCTTTATTGAAGAAGGCATGAAAAACAGGACTGATTTTCTTACCATTGTGACAGATCACAAGAATCTTTCAAAACTCTTCCAGGCCTAAGAGGCTACAAACCCTGAAAACAAAAACAACTAAGGGGAAAAGCCAAGAGTCGGGTGGCATGTGGGCAGGAGATACCACTGGAAACGAGGCAGGTAGATCCTCCAGGAAGATTGCTGGGCTGAAATTTTACCACAATTTGGCCTCAAGCAGAGAAATGAGAGCTTCCAATATGCAAGGCGCCCTTCTGGTTGCGGCTGCCCACACAGAGATGAAGAAACACCCGTGAGATGGGGGAGAGGAATTGTACCGCAGTGTCGGACACAGATCTGACAGTCACTTTCATGTACGTTTCCTCATAGCCAGCCACTGAGCTAAGTATTGTTTTCCCTGTTTTACAGAGAGGAACATCAAACAGTGATAGAAAAAGAGTCAGTGTGATGTGTTTGCACATGCTCTTCCTGTCCCTCTCAGGAATTTAGACAGAAATGGGTAAATACATAGAGAAACTGGGGTGTGTTCATGAAAACTGATGTTTCAACAAATCTAAAGACGGTAACATGAGAAAATGAAAGAAGCTCTCTGGTGTCTGCAGCCTCACCATCTTCTCACACACAGGGATGCATCTCCTCGAAAACGCCCTTGCTCTGCAGCTGAACCAGAGGCTGCGTGACCTTCTCCCCCGCAGAGAGCAAGGCAGCTGCAGAGCACCACTGTGAGGCTTCACCCAGGCACAGGTTAAGAACATGTGGACACTCTTTTGTAAACAGTGGAGGAGTCACAGAAGGTTTCTGGACAGAAGAGGAATCTGATTGGATATGGTGCTTATAGGGGACCTGGACTGGGAACACAAAACTCAGGTTTGAAAAGCTGGTGGGAAGGTGTGGAGCAGTCAAAATGAGAGGTAACAAAGAGAGGTGCTGAAAGTGGAAAGAGAAACAGGGCCCTAGCTTTAGAAAGCCCGCAGGGTGAATCCAGGTAGATGTGGTCATGTGGTAGGGTACCATTATCCCTATGCATCATTTAGCAAGACTCTCCTAGAGATGATGGCTTCAAGCCAAAGGGCTATTACAGTGAGAAGTGTACCCCAGTAGGTAGCTGGGGATGGGCGTCTTTCTGGGAAGGAAAACACTAGAGCCTCTCAAATCCTGGCAAAGTGTCTCGTGCCTTCCTTAGCTACCCCTCACCAGAGAGCACCTTTCTCAACCACATCAACCAGATGAGAAATGAAAAGAGGGGGATTTTTTTTTGTTCTATTCCATCATTAATGTCCTCGTCTCTTCCCCTTGTGCTCATGTTCTAACCCGGAAGTGTTGTTCCGGCAGAGCCACCTTGCTAGTTCCCTGAAAAACAGGCAGAATCCTGTCTTGCTCCTGAGAGACTATTAGGAAAGCATTTTGATGATTACCTTTTGTTAATGTGCAGAATAGATTTTTAAATTGTCAGTTCTATTACCTAGCCCTATCCCTGGGCTTCCTGCAGAGCTGACCCCATGCCCTGCTTTCTCCATCTATCACAACATAAAAACTCTTTAAAGATCCATTTCCTCCTCCTGCACCCCTCATTATTATTACCTTCGTTTTAGCTGTCAAGAGACCTTGCTAAGAAAAGAATGCTACAATTCAGCATTAGCTTACCAGAAAACACTGGTGGGAGTTGAAATCACAAGCAAGCAGAGAATAAAGTAGAATCAAAATTCATCATGAAGCCATTTTCACCTCCCACTATCCACTCTGACCAAGACAATAACTCTTGTTTGTGAGGAGCATAAAGATTTGCTGCTGTATATCGTAGGAAGAACATTGCAATGGTTGGCCCCTGTTATTCTTTATAATTGTCAGGATTCTCACTCCTCCCCTGGAAAAGAGCCGTATATTTTAGAAATGCTCTGATCTCTTATCCACAATCAGCAGGGGGAAAATAAAATGTATAATTTAGCTTACTTTCAGCAGACGATGTTTGGACTGGATTCCCAAAGCAGATGACGTGGGTAATTGGCAACTCTCTGCCACTAAGGACAAATGTTGCAGAAGGGCCTCGGCCAGTGCTTCCACAAGAAGTCCCTTGGAAGCACTCAGGTACCTGCCTGTGCCCTGATTGGGGGGATGGGGAAAACAGCTGTTGGAGGAGGCTGAAGGGCTTCGGGCACCGATTGGATGACAGCAGTTTAAAAGGTAAGAGAACTAACTCTACAAATATGGCCAAGTCATCTTAATTAACACCAGAATAATTTTATTAAAAAGAAATGGTGTTTGACTTCAGAAATCCAATCTAAGTCGCCACCAGGAATTGGAAAGGATGGAGGGCACTGGCTGACTATACAGCAGAAGGCACGTGGGATTTTTCAGTTGCTTTTTCTTTTCTTTTTTTTCTTTCTTTCTTTTTTTTTTTTTTTTTTTTTTTTTTTTTTTTTTTTGTTTTTTTTTTTTTTTTTTTTTTTTTTTTTTTTTTTTTTTTTTTTTTTTTTTTTTTTTTTTTTTTTTTTTTTTTTTTTTTTTGTTTTTGTTTTTGAGATGGAGTTTTGTTCTGTTGCCTAGGCTGGAGTGCAGTGGTACAACATCAGCTCACTGCACTCCTGGGCTCAAGTGCTTCTCCTACCTCAGCCTCCCAAGCAGCTGGGATTACAGGCTACACCACCACACCCAGCTAATTTTTGCATGTTTAGTAAAGATGGGATTTTGCCATGTTGGCCAAGCAAGTCTTGAACTCCTGACCTCAAGTGATCAGCTTACTTTGGCCTCCCAAAGTGCTGGGATTACAGGCATGAGCCACTGCGCCCAGCCTAATTGCCTTTTCTGAAGCTAGTCTCAGATTAAAAGCCAAGTGGCTAACTGGGGCTAGGGGTGGTGGACTGCTGAGAACTACTGACTCTGGGATTTGGCTTTGATACTGCACAAACCCCCATGAGCCTTTTACCAGGAGCCATCCCTCTTGGTTTCCAACCCTGCAGAGTCCCTTAAGCTCTTCTTCCCCATACTGAGACACTCATGTCTACCCTTTCCCTCCCTGCACACTTAAAAACTTCAATGTTTTCCCACTGCACTTAGATCAAAAACCAAACTTTTAGCCAAGGCTGCAGGGTTCCCAGCTAGCTCCTGCCCCACCCTCAAATCTCACATCTACCCAGTCCCCTCTGTTCACTCCAGTTCAGCAACTCTGGACTTCTTTCTATGAACACAAAGGACTTGCTCCTGCTTGGGACCTTTGCATTTATAGCTCTCTCCTCCTGGATGGCTCTTCACTCAGAGCATGGCTGATTCCTTGCTGTATAATTCAGCTCGGATGTTACCTGTTCATGAAGCTTTTCTGACCCACCCTATGTCAATATCCCTTGCTCCTTCTGTAACTTTCTAACCACTACTCTGCTATTTTTCTTTGTCATCCATCTCCAATGTTACTACATATCTCTACTTTTTATTATTCTGTTTCTCCACACTAGAATATGAACTCCTTGAGAACAGGGTCCTTGCCTATCTTGGCCACTACTAAATCTCGAATACTGATAAAAAGTGCTCAATCAATATTCTGGAATGAATGAATGACTCAGTCAATCACTCAGTCAGTCTGTTAGGAGAAGAATCACTGCCACATGTAATTGAAAATCCAGAAGCAAGTCTTTAAAAATCTTGCAGCAGTCAAGCAAGTCCACGTGATGCCAGTCTGGTTATACTGTGGAGAGAATTCCGCATGCATTTGGATGGCAGCCACCACTGAAGCTCCAGCCAGCCCTGTGCTCCTCACTGGCACTTGACAGAAGTAATTTGTAGGAAGTCGCTTTATAGCCAAAATCAGGAGTTCTAGTTTTTGCTCCCCAGAGCCACTGACATGCACTTATGGGTATTTTTACCCAGAGATGCATCCCACAGCCAGTCCATTAATATCTTACATAAACTAGTAGGAAGGAGCGTCAGTTGAAAGTCTTTAAAATATTGTCTCAAGCAGTCTGTGCGCAGGCAGTAATCTCAAAGCCAGTGTGATGCCTCTACTTGGGAAGAGGGGTCTGCCATAAAAAAAGACACTGGAATTGAACCCTCCTTCTGAAGTCCACTTACCTACCCTTTTTTCTTACACATCTATTTAAATGTTGTCCTAGGTTGCCACATGCACACCCAGGGAACACAAAAATAAGGCAATTTTTCCAGTTACCATGCTCACTGGAGCATATTTGGCTTCATCTTGAGTCATTGATCTGGAAAGGAAAGTAGAATGAGATGAAACCAAATGGGGCCAAACACACTGGTTGAGGTTGGATCCCTTTAGAACCACTTTAAAATAAATCAACGTCAGTGCTTTGTAGAAAGAAGAATGTATGGGCAGGCTGAACTCTCTCCTCTAGAATTTGCTTTCCCTAGAAAGTACAGGTAATAACTCTGTAGAGTGAGCTGTGCACAGAACTTTGAATGTTCCCTCGGTATGAGGACTGTGAAACATGGAATCATTTGGCTGTATCTGCAGGTTTGGAGCTGGCCACGTGCTGCAAGAGGAAGGCTTTGGGAGGGGAAACCAGGCAACAGCTCCAGGACTCCAGACACCTCCAGGGCTCTGATGGGCTTGGAGCCTCTAGATCCAGGCCACTGCTTTCAGCATGATAGAGGTCTCAAGGCATTTCCATAAAAAGCATTAAAATAGTAAGGTGTAATACATTAAAGCCAATCTTTCTCAAATCTAAGAAACACAAAACATTTACAAAGCCACTCCCACTCAGAATAGCAGTCTTGTCATTAACTCACCTTCACCACCACTCAACCAATATTTAAGCACATACCTCATGCAAAGCCATTATGTTGCATACTAGGTGATCAACAGTAAGCAAAATAGACAAGTTCCCTGCCTCTTCTAGATCTTTCATTCAAATGTAAGCCTTTTCTTTCTTTTTAGGACAGTTTTATGGAGATTTAATTCACATACTACACAACTCACCCATTGAAAGTATACAATTCAAGGCTTTGCATATTTTCATGAAGTTTTTCAACCATCACTATAATCAATTCTAGAATATTTTCATTATCCTAAAGGGTAACGCAAGGTTTTAAGGAACTAATCATTTAGTCAGCTATTGAGTTGCAATCATGATTATTCCTTCTACTTCCCTGAAAGAATAAAGCATGTAATATGAGGAGGCCTCTGGTTTTGGGGTTTCGATAAGGCTCTCGGCAAAGTGACATTTATGCTGAGAGCCAATGGAAGAGTAGGAGAAAGCCAGGCAAAAGGAAAGAAGTGAGCAGGAGGAAGCAGAAAAACACCACTGTGAATTAGGCTTTGTGGTGGGTCTACGGAACTGAGAAAAGGATGTTGAATTTTATTTTAGAATAATGGGTTTTCTATTGTTTTAAGAGTTTTAAGTCTTCCTGTCTATTCCCATCCTCCATGCACAGATTTTCATTTCAAAAAAATATCTCCTGCTGATGATGAGAGAACAGATTGGGGGGAGGCAAGCATGAAAGCAGGAATATCAGTCAGGAGCCCATCACAGAAGTCCAGCGAGGAGATGTGAGTGGCCTAGATCAAGACAGTGGAAATGGGGGCAGTGAGTTCATTCAGGATTTATTAGGGGCAGAACTGAAAGACCTTCACAATTGATTGACTTGGAGGAGTGATGACTTCAAAATTTGATGCCTCCGCTCCTGGGTATATGGGTTACAGAAGATAAACTGGAAGAAAACTAAGAATTTTGGAGTTGGGAGAGAGATCATCAGGGTTTGTGACAAAGCAATCAATGGGTTCGCTGTCCAACGCACAGAGGCCAATATCATGGCAGTGGCTTTTGAGAAAAGAAAAGTTTTATTGCCAGTCAGCCAGCAAGGAGACAGGAGGAAATGCTCAAATCTGTCTCCTCAAGCTGGGGTTTTAGTTGGGTTTCATAAGCATAGGTTAATGAGGTGTGAGGTGTGATCTGATTAGATCTTGCAATGAAGTGATGTTGGGAAGAATGATCTGACTGACTGCCATGGGGTGACTAGAGTACCATCTGATTGAATCCTAGATCCTACTTGATGGTGTCCACTTCTTAATTCAGTCCCCACTCCTTCACCCAAGCACGTAGATTCCCCCTTTGGCTGCACACTTGGTTCATCTGGGCATGCTCAGGTTATATGACCTCAACCTGGAGATCCATGGCAAATGAAAAACAATTTTGTTACCAAAAGCCAAGCCAGATTGGTCTGGTGTGGTTACAGGTTCAACATTGGATATATTGACTAAGATTTCAGGTAGGTAGTTGAATATGACTCTGAGGTCAGAGGTGAGATCTGAGCTGAAGAAATAAATGTAGGAGTCATTGTTGCTAATTGGCTGTTGATGTCCTGCATGTAGGTGGGGCCACCCAGGGAGAGACGACACAGCAGAGAAGGGGCCTTGGGTCAAGCCAAGGGAAGACCAACATTTCAATAATAAATAGAAGAGGAAATCCTGGTAAAGAGGCTGAGGAAGAGCTGCGGGGGACGAAGAGGTCAACCAAGAGCATGCAATGACCTGGAGCCAAGGGGAATTGGTATTTTAAGTAAGGGAGAGGCTATTTGTTTAAAAGCTGCTGAGAGATGAAGGCTAAGAGAATGTCCTTTGAACTTGGTGACATGAAAATTATTGATGCCCTTAGCAAGAGTCATTTCAGTGACAGAGCAGTTGGTGGAAGAATGGAGAGAACATACGCAGACAACTCTTCTGAGAAATGTGGCTTCACATGGGAGGAGAAAGATGGCTGAGATGGAGGGCCATGTGGAGTGAGGGAGGAAGGGTTATTTTAAGATGGCGGTGATATAAGCAAACCATAATGCTAATAGAAAGGATCCAGTGAAGAGTGGGAAAGAAAGATGACTGTCGGGTAAGGTGCTCGAGATGGGAGAGTAGAGCTGAGACCCCAGCACAGCCACAGGGGCTGGCGTTAGTTGGAAGGGAAACCTGCTTCTGCCTGGTGGGTCCTAAAGCAACAAACCTTGGTTTCACTACAGGCCTTGCTGGAGGCAGGGATATTCTCCAGAAGCTCCACTGGACATCATTTACTACTCACCTACTCACCATGTCGCCGGAGTGGGATGAAAGGTCTTCTCCTTGCCCCTCACAAAACACAACTCCCTCTCTCTCGCATTAAAGACATGTTTTGGCAACAAGACATCAGAGGCATCCAGGAACCTCATGGATAGAGAACCTATATCTACCTCCTGCCTCTCACAGCTGAGACATCAATTTATACTTCACACATCAAAATACCCTTTCTCAATGCCCCCTGCTCCTCAGAGTTCAGATCCTCTATCCTTCACCTCCTCAGGATAGAAATAAGTGCCCACACCCCATGGCACGTCAGAAGTATCACATCCTTCCAGAGAGGTAATGTCATCCCAGGACATTATTTCTTCAAGTGCAGTAAGATCGGCCTTGAAAGGGATTGTGGCAACAGAAGAGAGTGGCTGCCACCCAGCTCCCTGCCCTACTTCTGGCTCACGGGGTTCATGAAGCCTCAAGCTTGAGCTGTGAGGGGGGCTGCTCCCCATCATTTCCATATGGTGCATGCTACTATACGCACTGGCCACAGAAGTCAAGTGCATTGGCCTTCTGTGCCGCTTCACCATGGTCAGGCAGGGGTGAGGACTGACTGGGCTTTGGACCACAGGTTCAGGAGGAAGGGAACCACCTAGCCCCAGAGCAGAAACCCAGTAGTTGTGAGGACACAGGGAATGATGCCTGTGAAGTGTCCTTGAATAGGGAACTAATGTTGTGAATTATTATAACTATTATCTTGGAATGCTTATTTCTGCATTTTTCTTTTTTAAAAAAGTTATTGTGGGTACACAGTAGGTATATATATTTATGGAGTATGTGAGATAATAGTGTGCACCTGTAGTCCCAGCTACTGGGGTGGTTGAGGCAGGAGGATGACCTGAGCCCAGGAAGACAAGGCTGCAGTGAGCCGTGATAGTGCCATTGCACTCCAGCCTGGGTGACAGAGTGAGACCATTTTTGAATCTTTTAACAGACATTGCATTGTTGTATATGTGGAAGCGTGACTTTACTATGTCTATGTTGGGGTGAAGAAGAATGACCACATGGGCTGACCTCAGCACTCCCACACATGAATCTCCCAATGTTAATAATCCCCCCAATGTTAATAATTCACTTGATTGGTACAAAAATATAGTTAGAGAGAATGAATAAGACCTGTTATTATTATTTTGATTATTTTGTTATTATTATACCCTCTGCCTCCTGGGTTCAAGCAATTATCTTGCCTCAGCCTCCTAAGTAGCTGGGATTACAGGCATGTGCCACCATGCCCCACTAATTTTTGTATTTTAAGTAGAAATGGGGTTTCACCATGTTGGCCAGGCTGGTTTTGAACTCCTGAGCTCAGGTGGTCTGCTTTCCTTGGCCTCCCAAAATGCTGGGATTACAGGCATGAGCCACAACGCCCGGTCTATTATTATTGTTTAAGTGATTTTCCTGCCTCAGCCTCCCAAGTAGCTGGGATTGCAGATGCGCACCACCCAGCTAGTTTTTGTATTTTTAATAGAGACTAAAAATAGAGGCGGAGTTTCACCATGTTGGCCAGGCTGGTCTTAAACTACTGACCTCAGGCGATCTGTCCTCCTTGGCCTCCCAAAGTGCTGGAATTATAGGCATAAACCACCATGAGCAGCCCAGGAACTCAATTTTTAAGTTTTTTTCTGGGGTTCCCTTGGCCAAGAGAGAGGGTTTTTTCCATCAGTAAGGGACTTAGAATTTTAGTTTTAGTTGACAAATCCCAGGAAACTTTCATGGAACAAGGTATTTCATCAAAGAGCTGAGACTAAACTCTATCAAGGATATAAGGGGCCAAGCCAAAGGAAGAAGGAATTGTGCTGGGATCATCCTCCACCTCCACAGCAGAGAAAATTAATGGCACAGTCCTTGATGCATTTGAGAGAACCACTTAGCTAACTGCTGATTCTGCTAGTTCGGGTTATTTACTTACCCGTTCAACAGAAGTTGAAAAATCACCTGTATTATTAATTTGCGTAAAACCTTCCAGCTTCAGAATGTGACTCAAGCTATTTTTACAAAGAAAAGTTGGAATTCTAAGCTTTTTGCTTACAAATTACTAAAGTCATTCATCAGCTGTGCACATAAATGCCAGGCTTAGAATTTTTTTAAACTTCCATTTTTCAGATGAGATAAACATGCACAGGTTTACTGAATTGCTCTAATTCTGATTGCACACTCAGATATAAAAATACCAAAAATCTTTTAGACCCTTCCCTATTTTCAGACAATCAGCTAATTCTATCTTCCTTTGGGCAAATCCACATTCATAATACATAGTTACTGTCTAGTCTCTCTCTATTTTTTTTTTTTTATCAATTAGGAAGCATTTATTTAGCCTCTATGACATGTTTAGCTCTGTAGTGGGCACTGGGTGAAGACACTCAACCTATTTAGCCTTTATTGAATGCTGGGCCTCAGAAGCTTCTACTTCAGCTAAAGAAAGCAGCAACCTTCTGAAATTATTAATTCACCAGGGAATCGTCTGTGGTCTATAATTGAATGGAATTACATGGAATCCCTGGGCATTCAAATATAAAACCCAGTAGAACCTCTAGAGTTCTGGAAGACAAGAGGAAACAAGAAAAGAAGGACTATATAAGACAGAAGGAGAAGTACGTTTCAGACAAGGGGACTCACCCCCAATCTGTGTGTTTGTTTTGAAGACTGTGAATAGTTGGGACTGACTCATAGAGGCAGACAATAGGGATCCATTGAGGGTTTATGAGTGAGATGAGTACAGATATTGAGTTCTGCTGCAGTGGATAGACTGCCTGACACAATTGTCAATGACAGCTGTTCTAGTGGGCAGCTCCCCCATGTAGGGAACACATAGCAAGACTTCAGTCCTACAAATGGATGGGCAGAGGGCATACTATTTGGCAGCAGGATAGAACCCCTTAGTGACAGAAATTGACCTGCTCATCCCCTGCCAATGGAGGAACCCAAGAACAAAGGAACCTGCAAGGATATTCAGAATATGGGAGAAAAAGGGAAGGGGCACATTCATTCCTACAGTATCAATGTGAGCAGTCCCACCATTTGATCACAAGTTCCTTCAAGGTTTCTAGACTCACCAGGATAACATCATTCTCTTCTGAGGAAGCAAGAAAAACATCACCACAATCCAGTCTTGGCCACGGTTCTTTTAGGGGGGGTGGGGAGGGTGGGGACAGGGAGGTGGACTCTAAGGTGAAAATAAAGGGTATCCTCCCCCATGCAAGATGTGCTCCTCCAGGCGCAGGTCTGAGTTGTTAGGGACTGAACCTCTGGATTCAAAAGAATCATCACACATGAGTACAACCCTGGAAATGCCAGGGCCTGCCTGCAGTCTGTGCTCCCCACCTCCCCTGACCCCTCTGCAGTGCCCCTCAGGGGTTTCACTCCATGTGGGTCCTTACCAGGATCGGGGCAGGGCACAGCTAGAAGCCCCTGTCCCTCCTCCTGATCATGGCATAGAAACTGCATGGTTTCAGCCAAATCCAGATTTTTCTTTAGAAACCATGGATCTTAAAAGGTGTTGAGTCCTGGACAGTAAGAGATGTTTATAAGACCTTCCTGTCTTTGTCAATCAAAGGTACAATGCCCATGGGAAGAAATGACCCAAGAGGAGAGCCATTCTGAACTGGGATCAGGAACTCCATTAAGGATGGGGAGGAAGGAGCAGAAGCAGAGACAGAGAAATAGAAAAAAGTTTCCTTTCTTAGAACAGGTGGGCTCTCAGGTGTGGTGATTCATGTCTGTAATCCCAGCACTCTGGGAAGCTGAGGTGGGTGGATCACCTGAACTCAGGAGTTCGGGACCAGCCTGGCCAACGTGGTAAAACCCCATCTCTACTAAAAATACAAAAATTAGCAGGGCACAGTGGCACATGCCTGTAGTCCCAGCTACTTGGGAGGCTGAGGCACGAGAATCACTTCAACCCAGGAGGCAGAGGTTGCAGTGAGCTGAGATCGCACCACTGCACTCCAGCCTGGGAGACAGAGTGAGATTCTGTCTCCCCCCCGACAAAAAAAAAAAAAAAAAAGAAAAGAAAAGAAAAACAGGGAGACTCTCCCTCCACTGAGAACACTATTTCAGACTTACTTTTTCTTAGCCATTGTTGTTGTCAACTAAAGACAAAAATCAAGCTTTTAAAGAATTCAAGTTATTTGTATTCAGAAGTCTTCATGAGGACAATAGACTGAGACCTAGGTGCTGGGAGCAGACAGGTCAGACTGCTCCAAAGCAATTTCAGCCCACAGCTTATATGCAGATGTCAGGGGTTGAGTATGTGCAAAATCATGTCAAAGTTTGGATGTGAGAGTACATCTGGCTCTAGATGACTAAAGTACCTTTGAGTAAGAGATCGTAGCAGCATAATCACTAACCCTGTCTTATGTTTAGGCAAAGGCAAGGGCTCAGGTCATTTATCTTTTCAAGGATGTAGTGACTCAGGGAGAGACGTGGGTGGCTGAGGGCTCTGTCCTGCTTTGTCCTCAAGGCGTTGTTCTGGAGGGATGCATTTCATCACAGTGAGGGGCTCACGCAGAAATGAGCAAACATGGCTTTTTATGTTTGCTATCTTTTCTCACAATTGTCATTAAAGAAAAGAATATAGAAGTTAAAACATAAATCAAAGGGAGCTGGTTAAAAAGGTGAGCAGATTAGTGTAGGGAGTTGAGAGCTCAGATCTGGAATCCTGAAGACCTTGGCTCCATCCCTCGCCCTGCCACAGTGGCCTGGCACAGACCTGTTTAACCTCTCAGCTTCTCAGCCTTGTCATTTCTCAAACAGAAGCAGCAACAGTCCCTTCCTCACAGAAAAGGTGTCAGGGCTAAATGAAATCAATCACGAAAAGAATTTAGCAAAGATGGGACCAAAACTCCTGACGGACACTGGGGCAAGTGTCCTGGGCAGTGGATGGCTGGGCTCTGAGCAGGGTCCTATGGACACTGGGGTGGGTGTCCTGGGCAATGGGTGGCCAGGCTCTGGGCAAGGTCCGACAGACACTGGGGCAGGTGTCCCGGGAAGTGTTTGGCCAGGCTCTAGGCAGGGTCTGACCAACACTGCGGGTGTTCCAAGCAGTCGGTTACTGGGCTCTGGGAAGGGTCCCATGGGACGCGTGGCTTTTCCCTGGCTTTTCAGTTTCCTCCTGGTGCTGCAGGCATCCATTCCCTGGAACTGAAAGCTGAGTCCTAAACCACATTCTCTCTTTGTCCCATTTGTGGCTTTCAATGACAGAGAGTGAGACAGGAGGGCATCTCTATTCCCTGCTGGGGAACTTTCTCCTGGTTCGAGCCAGGTATCAAGTGGGCAGTTACTGAGAAATAAGGCCACCGGGTCCTGGCAGTGGGAGCAGAAAGGAGAGGTCAGAGTCCAAAGACAGTAGGACTTGGCAATTGATGAAGAAGGATATAAATATGACTGCAGGTTCTGGGATAATGGAGAAGCCATAGAGAAGAGACCTTGAATCCAGAACGGAGAACAGTCTATGTTGGGAGGGAATAGCAAGTCCTACAAAATTTGGACAAGAGGTTTGATGAAAGATGGTAGGGCAGATAAGTGGAAGTTTCCAGTGGTTAAATAGCAATACAGGATCCATATCTATTGTATCCATATGTATGTATCTACACATCGAGGTGTGTGTGTGTAGGAGTTATCAGCTTAGAGGTGAAATTTAAGGCAAGAGAATGAGAAGCTCTTTGAAAGACAGACACAGGGAAGTGAAAACACTTAAAGGAAAGGGGATGCAGTTACAGAAATGGAAGACGAACTGATAAAAAAGTAGAGTTGGAGGGGAACTTTGCAAAAATCCAGCCCAATTCACTCACTTAAAGGATAAGGAGACTGAGGCTCAAAGAGCATCCGTGATTTGCCAAATGGTTGACCATATCCAGAAAATGGGAGATGTGGGCCTGAATCCATATTCTCAGACTCAGTTTCTGTCCTTTCCCACTGGAGACATGGACATCGCTGCCTGCAAGTGAATGTTAATTAATGTTGATCACCAGGATGAAACTGGTGATCATGAACCTCTAAATTTGTGTAAACTTATGATTCAAGAAATTGTGAATACTAAAAATGTGAATACACTTTGTCATTTCACATAGGTCAGTATACACACACACACACACACACACACACACATACACACAAGCAAAACCAGAAAGAAATCTGAAAATTAAACAGAATCTCATTAATTGAGGGCAGATTAATGATTTCAATGGCTGGAGAATCATTCCACCTTTTTTTTCTATGACTTGGAAAAGGAAGTTGCTGGAAAAAGTCAGATTCAAAGCATCTCTTTTCTGCCTGGATGCATCCTGCTGTTTTTCAACTAGAGTCTTGCAGGAAGTTGTCCAGAAGGGAAACGATTGTGCTGCAAAACTTCTAGGTCATGAGCTGTGCTTTCATAATTTGCAATGTCTCTATCAAAAAACAATTGAATTTGAAGAACCAGAAACACATGTTACATGAAAGGTTTCTGATTACAGCCCTCACTTTCAGGCTCAGAAAACAAACCCTTCTCTAAATGATGCCAACCCCTCTGAACACATCGTCTTTACTGGCGGCTCAGCTGGCATTTGAACCAAAATTGCCACTTAAACCTGCCCCTTTAGTTCACTGTACTGATTGCATAAGATGGGACCGTTAATTATCCACCTCGCATTGTGTTTCTCCTCCACCATTGTAGGGCGGGCACTTGACTGATGTTATTGAGTTTCTTCACTTTCATTTTATTGTGGGATCTCAAAGGGAATGAAATATACTCATGCTGGAAACGTCTGTATATATTTGGTAGCTCTCAGTGCTTTCCACAAGATGCAACTGGGGCTTGCTTTTAGTGTCCGATATGTCTCAAGTAATCTGCTTTCAAGAAAGAATTAAGTCAGGTTTCAGAATAAATACACTTCTCTCACAGCTGCTGGCCCCCTCATTTAGGGAAGCTGCTCCCCGTTGCTCCCATTCTGCCGTCCATGAGATACTGTACCCATCACAGAGGAGCCCAGGCTATTGTAAAAGGGGGCACAGGCTTGGTGACAGTGGGTCCCCACAGCCCTACCCCAGGTTTCTCAGCCCTGGGAAAACAGATGAGCCTGTTTCTTCATGAAGCACCTTTGAAGCAGTCATGTTACAAGTTTGAGAATTTTCTAATGTTGCTATGTATCATTTTAATTTATAATTAAAAATGTCTTCTACATCTGTGATGACTTTCTCTTTTGAGTTCTAATTTCGTGACTTGGAATCTAACTGTTGAGTCATTTACTATTTGTGAGACCTTGGGCAAAATGCTTAAAGCCCCGCCTCAGTTTCCTCATATGCAAAATGAGAATGATGGTTCTTACCTCATAAAGTAGAGCTAATATACATAAAGCACTAAGCCCAGTGCCTAGTATATTAGGTGCTCAATAAATGTAAGCTATTATTGGTCTCCATCATTACTCAATTAGGCCGACTGGAGGTGTAGCTGACAGTTTCTTCAAAAATAGTTTATGGGGACTAAATTCTTAACAATGATGTCTACTTGAAAATTACTAAAGGAATAGATCTTAAATATTTTTTTCACCATTTAAAAAAATGTGAGGTGATGGGTATGTTAATTAGCTTGATTTATTTCACAACATGTACATGTATCAACATTCACATTGTACATCATAAATAGATATAATTTTGTCAATTATGCCTTAATAAAGCTGAGGGAATCCAGATTTTGGATTTATTCTGTTTTCCTGTTCTTAAATTGCTTAATTTCTGTTTCACTTTATCATTTTCATTCTTGTGCTTATGTTTATTTTGTCATAATTTTTAAAGTTTTTTTTAAATTAACATTCAGTCAATTTATTTCCATTCTGTCTTACTTAGTACCACATTTAAAGCTGTGAATTTTTTCTCTGAATATGGTTTTAGCCATCTTATATATAGAAATTCAATCATAGTCTAGATATTCTAAAATTTTAACTTTGGTTTCAACTTAGAAAGGAATTTCAAAATTTCCAAAAGGTTGGGTTTTGGTTTTTTTCTATTTTGATTATTAAACTGTAGATTTTTTTTTCTTTTGTTTGACATAAGAGAATGCAATCTGTACTATTTCTAATTTTGAAATGCATGGAGGCTTTCTTTGGCACCCAAGATATGATCAGTTTCAAGAAATATCTCAGGGGCAGTAGAAGGTACGGTCTGTTTGAATATGAAATTAAATGGAATTTTTGTTTGGATATGGAATTAAATATATATTAATATGTAACAATAATTACTAATTACATATTATTCCCATCCTCTATATCACCATTTACATTCATGGATTTTGTCATAGGTGTTAAAGTCTCTCTGATTATGTTTTTGTTTCTCTTTGAATTTTCAGGTCCTTTTGTGTGTGTGTGTGTGTGTGTGTGTGTGTGTATACATATATATTTAATTAATTAGTTAATTTAAGAGACAGGGTCTCTCTCTGTTACTCAAGCTAGAGTGCAGTGGTGCAATCATGGCTCACTGCCCCCTCAAACTCCTGGGCTCAAGTGATCCTCCTGCCTCAACTTCCCTAGTTGCTGAAACTACAAGCTCAAGCCACTACACCTGCCCACTTCATGTATTTTGATACATATAATGTGACTGCTAGAACACATAGACCCTTGCCTCCCTACTCCCGAATAAATATGATACTTATGCTTTCTGTTTCGTATTTTAGATCTAATGAAACAATTGTTTGAATTCTTTCCATCCAGATAACTGGGATAAGTTTTCTGCCTTCTTTTAAAACTCTGGCTCCATTGTCAATGAGAGCTGACCTTGTAGACAGAGTGGGTATGGAGAAAACAGAGACACCTCACAGTTAGGAAGTTGGGCTGAAGCCATCTTCAATGCCATCACCTTGGTCATTGTCATTCCAACCGATGGGGAAGGGGAGGAACACAAAGGGCAAGCAGGAAGGTTTACGGGCCAGGCCTGGGATGGCACTCACCTCTGCTCACATTCCATTGAAATCCCAAGCAAATGCAGGGTGTATCTGAACAGCCATATGCTCATCTATAACTCTGGGTCATGTAAAAAGAGAATAGGTTTTGGTGGACAGCTAACAGTTTCTGCCAGAATGCTGTTTTGTTTTGTGTTGCGTAGAGATTTAGGCCACTTACATTCTTGTTACAGATACACGCTTTTTTACCTTTAATTCAATGCTGTCTGATATTAAACTGGAGAATCCCAGTTATATTGGATCTGGAGACTGCCATTTCTCTCTCTGTTTTTTTAATCTTGAGCTATATGGTCAATTTTCTGATGCATCCTTACCCCTGCCACCCTTCTGGTAATTTAAAATTACTTAAAAATTAAAAAGAAATTTGTTTTAGAGGCAGAGTCTTGCTATGTTGCCCAGGCTGGACTCCTGGGCTCAAGTGATTCTCCCACCTCTGCCTCTCAAGTAGTTAGGAGTACAGGCATGTAACACTCCACCTGGCCACTTTTGTATTTTAAAGGATAAACTTTAAAAACTTTTAATATATTGATTAACTTTAAAAAATGAAGTGATTAGTAACTTCTTGCTGTGAAAGACAAGGAAATTAGCTCACTTACACTGGCCACTCAGCCCCTACTGAGTTGTCAACAAGCTGTAGGATTTTTGTCCCAGCCCATTAGTTACATTATTTTAAATTGTGACACTTGTCTTTCATTCTTACATTCATTGCTGTTAAATCTCATTATTAATTTTAAATTTTAACGGAGTCATAGTTCAAAGTTGGGTTTTTGTTTGTTTGTTTTTGAGACAGTGTCTCACTCTGTGGCCCAGGCTTGAGTGTAGTGGTGCCATCACAGCTCACTCCAGCCTTGAACTCTTGGGCTCAGGCGATCCTTTTGCCTCAGCCTCCCTAGTAGCTGGGACTACAGAGATGCACCACCACACCCAGCTAATTTTTAAATATTTATTTTGTAGAGACAGAGTTTTGCCATGTTGTCCAGGCTGGCCTCAAACTCCTGGGTTCAAGTGGTCCGCCTGCCTCGGACTCCCAAAATGCTGAGATTACAGGCATGAGCCACTGTGCCCGGCCTATAACTAGTTCTTACGTTTTGTGTCTTCTTCGTTACTGTACTCTCCACACTGATTCTCTTGGTTGACTGGATTTCATCAAATGTTATTTTCAAGAGAGGTTTGCAGGTGCAGGTGTTATGATTCCTGAGTCCTTGCATATTTTAGGAATTCTTCATTTGCCTTTATAACTGCTTGGGGAAAAAGATCTCAGATCACACTGTACAACATTGATATGAAGAAGCTGAGTGATAGATTACTTTTTTTGGCATAAGCTTCTCCAAGTAAGTTCTCCCAAGATATGTTTCAATGTTGCTCATTCCATATTACATTTTTCTAAAACATGATGTGTTCTCTTTATCTGCAGATTCAGTTCTTTAGGAAAAATATAATCATTTATTTGAATATATTTTTTCTGTGCCAATCGTAGCCTTCTCTACCTACCAGTATTTTTTACATTGAATCATCCTTGTCTATTCCCCATCTCAATATTTCTTCCTTCTGATCAAATATCCGCTAATCAGAGGCCTTCCCACATCCCAGGAAACCTAATAACCTTTGTCACTCTTTCCTCCTCATCCTGCCTTATTTTTCTCCACAGCATTTCTCATCAGTGCATGCTACCCCTGTACTCACCCCAATGAATACATAGCTCCACAAGGACAGGGGATTTTTTTTTTTTTTTTTTTTTTTTTTTGAGACAAAGTTTCACTCTTGTTTCCCAGGCTGCAGCACAATGGCACATCTCAGTTCACTGCAACTTCCACCTTCTGGGTTGAAGTGATTCTCCTGCCTTAGCCTCCCAAGTCCCTGGAATTACAGTCGTCCACCACTACACCTGGCAAATTTTTGTATTTTTAGTACAGACGGGGTTTTACCACATTGGCCAGGCTGGTCTCAAACTCCTGACCTCCAGGTGATCCACCTGCCTAGGCCTCTCAAAGTGCTGTAATTACAGGTGTGAGCTACCTTGACCAGCCTAACACTTCTTTTTTTAAGAATGTGTTCAGTGTATAGAAATACAGCTTACTGTTTTTGGTCTTATTTCCTGTAACTTTGTTGAATTCATTTATAAGTTCTAGTAGTTTGTGTGTATGTATTCTTCGTAATTTTCTATGTATAAAATCATGTTACCTTTGAAGGTAGTTTTATCTCTTCCTTTTCAATTTGGATTCTTTTTATTTATTTTTCTTACCTACTCACCTGGCTAACACTTATAGTGAGATGTTGAATAGAAGTTTCAAGAAAAAACATTCCTTTTTTTTTCCTTATTTTAGGATGAAAACTTTTAGTCTTTTACCATCCAACATAATGTTATATGTAGAGTTTTCATATATGCCAATTATCATACTGAGAAAGTTTTCTTCTATCCCTGGATTTGTGTACTTCTATTATTAAAGTGTGGTGAATGTGTTAATTTTTTCTGCTTCTACTGAGATAATCATGTTTTTTTAAGTTTATTTTTCTTTTTAATAATGTGATGCATCACATTGAATTAGTTTTATATGTTTAATCAACCCTATATTCCTGAAATAAATCTCATTTGGTCATGGTATATATTATTTATATTAGGTTGTTAGATTTGGTTTGCCGGAAGTTTGTTGAGATATTATCTAATATCTTTTGTGTGTATATATATAACAATATATATGTGTGTGTGTGTATATATATATATATACACACACACACATATATATTGTTATATATATACACACACACATATATATTGTTATATATATACACACTTATATAGTTATATATATATACACATTTGTATATTGTTTTGTATATATACACATATATATTGTTATATATACATACAAATATATATTGTTATATATACACATATATGTTATATATAGACACATATATTGTTATATATATACACATATTTTGTTATATATATACACACATATATTGTTAATTTACACATATATATTGTTATACATATACATAACTATATGTACATATACATATAGTTATATATAACATATAACACAAGTATATATGTACATATATACATATTTTGTATATGACATATATATGTACATATATACATATGGTATATATGTATATATAACATATATGTACATATACGCACACACAAAAGAATTAGTTATATGTACATATATACATATATAACATGTTTATATGTGCATGTATACATATATAGCATGTTTATATGTACATACACACACATGTGTGTGCATATATATGTATATACATATAACATGTATATGTGTATATATATACATATAACATGTATATGTATATATATACACACACAAAAGTTATTAGTCTATAGTTTTTTATTTTTTTTTGACTTTTATATTAGAATAATACTGTTCTCATTGCATGAGAGGGGAAGTTTCTTCCTTGTCTCTTATTGTTTGAAAAATGTTTGATAAGAATTGGTTTTGATTATCATTTAAATATTTTGTCAAATTCAGCAGTAAAGACATCTAGGCTCTGCTTTAATTTGTTGAAATATTTTTCATTTTTGTTTTATTTTTTCTGAATAAATCTTCTTGATGTATTTTAGGTCAATTTTGAGTTTTTTCTGCTTGAGTCACTTTGGTAGTTTGTGTGTTTCTAGGATTTGGTCCATTGCATCCAGTGTACCTAATTTGCTGTCATATAATTGGTTATATTATGCTTTCATAATTTTTTCATTTCTGCAAAGTTAGTGGTAATGTTCACACTTTTATTGTTGAGTTAGTCATTTGAGTCTTCTTTTTTCCTTGTTAATCTAGTAAAGTTTGTCAATCTTCTTTATCTTAAAAATCAACTGGTTTCATTGTTTATTTCAATTATTTTTTTATTCTCCAGCTCATTGATTTTCATTCTCATTTTTATTTTTTTTTTTCCACTTGCTTTGGGTTAACTTTGTCCTAAGTTGTCTAGTTCCTTAAGCAGATGTTCTGGTTAGTGATTTAAACTCTTCCTTGTTTTATATGTAAGATTTTATAGCTATAAAGCCTCTCTAAGCACTGCCTTCACTGAATCATATATGGTTTTGTACATTGTGTTTTTATTCAACTTCAAGTATTTTCTGATATCCTTTTTGAATCCAGTTGTTGCTTTAAAGTGTATCATTTAATTACAGTATATTGGGGAATTTCAGCTTTCTGTTATGGGTGTCCTATTTCAATTGATTGTGCTTGGAGAATATACTTTATATGATTACTATCTTTATAAATATACTGAGGCTTATTTTTTGGCTTAATATATGCTCTATCCTGGTGAATTCTTGTGCATTTGAAAAGAATATGCTTTCCGCTGCTTTTGAGTGGAGTATCCAATATATGTCTCTTAGGTCTAATTGTCTTGTAGTGTTCTAGTTGTCTTTCTTATTTATCTCATGTCTAAATGTGCTACTTTTGAAATTGGACTTATGAAGTCCAATTTCTGCCATTATGAAGAATTTCTGCCATTTAAATTTTCTCCCTAATTCTTTTACTAGGTTTTAAATTAGTATTTTTTCCATGAATTTTTGCCAGAAGGGTTTTAAAAGACTTTGAATGTGGAGTGTTTGTTTATAGACATTATGGAGTAGATTACTCTCAATATTTATAACAACATTGTTTGCCTTATAATAATCTTTAAATTGTTATTCTATCTCTTAAATTTGAGTCAGAATTTTTTTAAAATGCAGATCAATCTTTTATATACATATTCTGGAGCTTCAGTAGCCCACTGACAATGCTATTAATTTCTCCCAGATGCCATGCTTATTTCTTACCAAAGTCAAATTCAATATTTCATTTATTGAAAGATGAACATGATACAAACTCTTTGGAAGTTTGTTACATTACATTCTCCAAGGAGCCCTGTGTAGTAGCATATTTAAATCAGGAGAGAAAATACATTTGTATTTTAACATGTAAACATATAGGCTGTTTTGGATTTCAATTTATGAGATGTATTAATTAAGATGCACCAAGTAGATTACTCAGTTACTTGATATAAGCAAAGTACTAAATCATAAATTGATATATATCATTGTTAATCATTGAAATTTATAGATAATTCTGAGCCAAGATAGCAAATACCTAATGAATAACAGGGTTAGAACATTTCTTCAGCAAAAGTAAAACTGTAGGTATATCTTTTATTTGTAGGTTATGAATTGATCTTACTAACCTTTACTAAAAGAGAGGCAGGTTCAAGGAATTCCAGTCATATAATTTTTGATTTCCGATTGACAACTATAGAAATGCTAAGTTATTTAAATCACTTGCATTAAATATTTTAAAGTCAGAAACATCAAATATACAAATGAAGGTAACAAAAATCTTACATCTTTTATTTTTACGCTTTCAGTTTTAAACTCAATTGAAACCACACAGAGCTCAAATTAGCCTTTAGTATTACTTTTTCACTTCAAAGCTAGCCAGCTATTGATAAAAAAAAACATTTCAAAAAAATCGTTGTTTGCTGATTTTCATCCTTAAATATATTTTAACATATAGCAATTTAGAGTTAAGTATCTCCATCAACTTACTTTTGGTTTACAGACTTTACTTCTTTAAATTTACATAGAAAACTGGAAACAAAATCTTATCTCCATGAACTTCAATTCTGTGAATCTATTCAGTCCCAGCAGATGGGATTTAATATGCTTCAACCATATAACTACTGTAGCCATTTGGCACACAAGAAGTATTTTAGCCATTAGGCATTTTTAGAGATGGCTGTTGGAATCATTTCTCTAGAGAGACTAACATAAGAAAGAAGAGAGGAGTCGCAGATCAGTCAGAGAAAGAATAATCCATTAAAAAATAAATTTGTAGTAGGGCAGGATTTAGAACTGAAAAAGGGAAACAAAAGGAATAAAGCAGAATGAACAACACTGATACAGATTGGTGTTTTCCTGAAATCAAGTTAACTGGAAAGGGAAACACTGTTTCTTGATTACAAGTTAAGTTATTTTAGTATTTAACAAGACACAGAGCCTTACTACTTTATTATTTTTTAATGTATTACTTCGTGGGCTTGGATGATGTTACACAATGTGGGAAAACAAAAATTTGTATTCTTTCCTTTGTGCCATTTTATATTGATCACAGATCCAGGAATTATTAATTATAATAATTGAATTTGCTGACATAAAGATAATTTTGCTTTAATAATTCTCAGTAGACTTCTAATTAATTAACATTTATCATATTGAAATCCATTTGTTTCACAATATGAATGAAACTGTTAGATGTGATAGTATGTGATCCAGAATAAATTAATCAAGAATATTATTCATTATAGATCCATTCAATTTTATGCACATGATATAGTCACTATTAAATATATTATTCATGATGTTAAAAATTAGTATTTATTATTATTTTAAGTTAATGTTACTTTTAAATAAATACAGTGATACTTAAACTAAAATATTTTCCATTGTTCATTAAATCTGTTTCACTATTACACTCATTCTCTTTACTAGAGAGATAACTTTTTTGTGACTGGATACTTACAGTCAGAATATATTTGACCACAGCCAGATGTAGTGGCTCAAGCCTGTAATCCCGACACTTTGAGAGGCTGAGGCAGGTGGATCACCTGAGGTCAGGAGTTCAAGACCAGCCCGGCCAACATGGTAAAATGTTGTCTCTACTAAAAATACAAAAATTAGCCAGGCATGGTGGCAGGTGCCTGTAGGCCAAGTGACTCAGAAAGCTGAGGCAAGAGACAGGAGACTTGCTTGAACCCGGGAGGCAGAGGTTACAGTGAGCCAAGATAGCACCACTGCCCTCCAGCCAGGGCAACAGAACAAGACTGTCTCAAAAAATTTTGGAAGGATAACTTTGGGATTTCAAACTGAGATGTGAAATTTAAGAGCTAAAAACAAAAAAAAAAAAAAAAAAAGGAGATTATATTAGACCACAAAATGACATTATTAATCAAGGATTAACAAAGAAAAAAGCATAGTAGAAAATCTTGGGGACTTGAGAGTATCATACTCATCTGTGACAATCCATTGGCGTTTGGTTTACTAACCCATGTGTCCCAGGTACAGAATTTCTAGTTCTGTTTAAGTGTGGTTCTATCACAAAAAGAGTAGTATATTGAGCAAGACAGAGCACACTTTATAGTTTGAGATAATTTGTCCATTCCTGTTACAGTCGACTTCTTTTTCCTACTAATCAGGTAATCTTTAGTGAGTGTTTTATCGATCATTAGGAATGTCCCTGAGCAACATATTTATTGGATACAAAGTATCCAAATAATGTTAAGGAAATCTAAATATGTGTAGGGTAACATTTGTTAATGTGGATGCATTCTGACAATGCTGTTATTAGTAAAGAAATAAATTACTAGAATTATAATGTAAATTAAATTCTAATGTGATTTAATGTTAAAAGAAATCCTATATGCCAATTTTTAAAAATATACTAAACAAAATTTGGAAACTAGTCTAATTTCAATCAGCATATCAATTTGAAGCATACTCTTCTCTGTTATTTCTGTCATTCCCAAATTATCTTGCTTTATTTTATTAATTTTATTGTTTTACATTTTTTCAAGGTAAATAATACAGGTAAAAAATAATAAAATGAATACTCCTGATGCTAACATCTCACTTAAGAAATGGAATGTTTTCTATACTTCAGAGACTTCTAGGTGCTCCCTATAGATGCCATGTTCCTTCTTTCCTTAGAAGAAGCCACATCTCTTGTTGTTTTCTGTTACTCATTCTTTAATTTTTCAAAAAGTGATTTTCACACTTGTGTATATAACTAAAGGCATTGTTTTAGTTTGAATTTTTAAAGATTACATATTAAAATCAGAATTATGTTGCAAGTATTGTTTGTGAATATTTATTGGCCCAATATTCTTGTTTTTCAGTTTCACTCATTCCAGTGTGCATATATGTAGTTCATTTGTTGACTCTCAGTGCTATATAAAATTGTATCATACCAATCAAAATAACATATTTTCTTTTCTATTGTTGACTGAAATACATTGTTCTCTGTTGCTTTCTTACTCTATAATTCTTTATAAAT